GTTAGCACAAGTATAGTTTGACCTTAGGATTTCGGGATGCAGAGTCAGGATAATAGGTGGTTGTTTCTTATTGGGCTGAATGTCAACTCTAAGAGCATAAAATATTTCACTCTTGTGTGTTCCTTAGGAGAGTATCATTGCTTATGGTCCCGTCAAATATGAGACTATAAGAACATCTTTGTATCGTTAATAGAGGGTTCATACGATCAACCCTCAGAGAATTAGTAACCTAAGGTTCAGTCTTGGAAATTGAGATCTCCATGAGAGTGTCGAGAGTATTCAAGTTACTCTTTTCAATTTAGCGATCACCATATTGTAAAAAAACTCAGCATATGTCTTAGCAAATTCCAAGGCACATCAGTTGCTAACTGGGCATAGATACCCCGAGTACTCGCAAGAAGTAAGTTAGCAGGTGTAATTTTCGATGTAGTAGTTTCGGAATTTCACCCCATATCCTAAAGGTACTATAGGTGTTATAGTGAGTTATGAGTCTCGAGGTGCAGTGAACCCTCAGATATCACCATAATGTACTTTTTACTTAAGTAGTAAGTGAATCAGCTAAGTGAGTCAAGCCTCGTCAGTGGTGCCTTCGTGTTAGTATATGAGCACAAGCTATATACAACATACATCAATAGTTAGCGTTATATAATACCTAGAATTTCAATATTTTAAACTAAAGGAGATCAAGTACGTTAAACTATGTTTAGCTAAGTTAGCCATCATTAGATAACTCAATAGTGGTAAGAAATAGGGAGTGTCTGACGTAGAATCTCATAGTTCTTAGTCAGAGTGCGATTGTGACAGATCTCCCTTTTTAAGGTGTGCTTTCTGGGAGAGCCAGATGCTAGTTTCGCTTGGTAGTGGCCAATTTTCAGTTGTAAGCACCCTAGACGCTCGATCAAGTGAGTAGAGTGTATGTAAGTCACAAGGTAATGGGAAACAGTCAAGTACCATGGATGGATATTAAATTAGAGTTGCACAGTAAAAGCATAGAGCTCGACGTTAGGAGGTCGAGACTTGTCAGCATGTCTTCAGTAGTTGGTATCGAGACAGGAATGGTATGTGCCAGAAGATTTGTAAGGTTTACCTATATCCAGCAAGTAAAAGAGGTTATTAGGTTATGCAGTAAATTAATTCGATTGAGTAAGGTTAGCCATAGAAGGATTTAGCAATAGTAGTGCGCTATAGAGTAACGCCATCCTTGTGGAACGCCCGAGTGTGTAGTTTCAAATAGACAGAATGTGATTTCCTTAGCTTTGTGCTTCTCGAATATTTTTGCTTAGATTTCAAAGGTGGTAGCGCCATCAGGAAATCGTAGGCTAATTTTACGGCATCCAAGCGGTATGTCAGATTGTGATGACTTCTTCTTTGAAAATCAGTTTCTATAAGGTTTAAGCGCTTCGAGATTTCTCAGTGTTGACCTAAGGATAGATCGTTCTAACCAAGTAAATTTTGAGGACGAAATTTCTTTTAAGGAGGGGAGAGTTGTAACACACCAATTTCGAGCTAGTAGTTTTGGGTCTACCCGAGAGGTAAGTAGACCCCACAAAAATTATAATTCAATTTGTTGGGCTTAAATTGATTAGTCTTAGTCCCAATTAGCCATAAATATGGTATTTTTTTCATAGTAGCAAGATGATGAGGGGCCAACAAAGTAATTATCCCATTTTCAAAAGATGAATAATGTTTTTATTTCTTCATCTTCCCATTCTCTTTATTTCTCCTCTTTATCTCTTCCATCTTTTTCCTCTCCAAGCTATATCAAAGGTAAGATTTTTGAGCCATTTTTATATTTCAAAATCGTCCTAATTAAACCAAAACAACATTGTTTAAAAGATTCAAGCTTGGGTTTTATGTTGTAAGAGAAAACTTTGGGTTTTCATCCAAATCACCAATGAAAAGATTCTGGCTAAGCAAGGAGCTCAATTTCGGGATTCAATCAGCAAGGTACTGTATTTCTAATCCTTTGGAGTATTAAGCTTTCATAGGTTTCAAGTAATTGCTAAGATTTGATTAATTGAGTATGTTTAGGGTTTATTTTAATTTAATGATTAAACCATATTTTAGGTATTAAGAAAGTGTTTTTATGACACCTAATGACCCTAAATAGCTTATTAGAACTTCAGAATCAGTTCAGAAACCAATCCAAGTCATTTAAGATGATTTTGGGTGTTTTTTAGCTTAAAATATCAACTTCATGGTTCAAGTATCGATATTGGGATGAACAATATCGATATTAGTTAATTTGGGGCTAAAATTAGGGTTTTTAGAGGGGAGTATCGATACTGCCAAGGTGAGTATCGATACTCAGGGTAACAATATCAATATCAATGCCTCAAATTCGTAATAGGATTCAATTTTAGTATCGATACTATAAGGGTATCGATACTAGACCCTAGGGTATATATACTATAGCTAGAGTATCGATACTACCCACATCAGATGATCAATTTTGACCTGATTAAGGTCTATAAGTTCTTGGGATGGTCCGTAAGGATAAGACTTAGGTTGTGAAGGACGTGACTGGCCAAAGGGGCCCAACAACACTCGTAGGAGTAGGTTACAACCAGAGTAACCATAGCAGGCGTAACGCATCCAAATATCTTCAGTGAGAGCGTAACAGATAGTTATTGATGGAGGATCAGTGCATAAGGTGTACCGACGAGAGGTATGACCAAGTAATCAGATTATGAGACATCATTGTCGTATACTGCAAGAACGACCGAGAGTATTGAGCACATAATTATTCCTTTAATTCGAGGGCGAATTGGGGAAAGCGTAAGATTTACGAATAGAGCATCGTTATTCATAAACGAACCCGAGTCAGATACCAAGTTAACCAGAACCACAGTCATTAAACGGCAACCGCAAAAATCACTGTGAAGCCTCAAAACGTGTAGAGATTTCTTCAGAGTAAGAGAATGACTAAAATACACCTAAGTAGCGAGTAACCAGATCAGTACATATTATCAGTAATAACATATTAGTAATTCCTCGCAACGTTCTAGATTAGAGAACGAGCGAGTTAACAATTAGGGTGAATAGTAAACAAGATCAATAATAATTCGGAACAACTAGAAATAGTATTTGTCAGAAAAATATTAGTATCAACTAAAAACATTAACAATTAGGATGTCATAAAACTAGCCTTTGTGTGACATATCAGTAACAGCTAGAAACAGTAACAACTAGGATGTCATAAAACTAACCTTTGTGTGACATTCGGGAAACAACTAGGATACCCGAGTTACTTTAGCAGTAGGTGATTGTCTTGTGTTTGTCAATATGTTTAGGTATATACTAATCGGTGCCACGACACTTTTTTTCTAATTGGATGCAGATGTTAATTCTTTTATGAAATTTTACTTCTTTGTATTAGTGGAGGATTGTTGGTTATATTTATTATAATACAAAGAAATAAATATATTTATTTAAAATTAATTTAATTAAAATTCAAATGTTGAAATAGTGGGAGAAATTGAGATTTTTAGAGAATTTTTGGTGATTTTTCTCTTAGTGATTTTACCTAAATACCCTCATTTTTTATCTATAAAAGAAGGCATTCTCTTCACTTTCAACTCACTTCATTCTCCTCCTCTTCTCTTCTATATTTTCTCTCTTCACAAATCATAGTGAATTTTTTTCTTTTCCAATAGCCTTTCATATTTTTTGCGGTAGGATTTACTTCGGATAAAATACTTTTCTATCTTCAAGTAAAGAGCAACGTTATTCATAGTTTCACTTCCCTATTTCGTGTGTACGAAATTTTAAAAACTATGTTAACCTTGGGGGAACGTCCATTGTTAGAAATTACACTAGTCCGGGCAAAATTGCTTCTAAGGCAGTGACTACACGGCACAGTAAAATTAATCGATCTTTATTTATTTACCTTATTTATTTTTCTAGTTAGTGTTGATCTTTTATTTTGCAGTAAGCTATTTTTCAACAGTCACATCTTCGAGCAATGTTGATTTTGATGAGTATTTCCTGCAGAATTATTCATGGCAGCTAATCACACAGCGTTTGATGTCAATATAGTTTTTGAATATGGCAATCTTGAGGCATCCATCGGAGTTATGGGCAAATTACATGGCTCAATCATTTTTTTAAAACTCATTGACGTGATCCTATTACTTTCCTCTTTAGCTCTTATTGGTTATGGTTGACAGGTTCAGACGGCAGGGTCAGTTAGGAGGTCAATTGATGCGACAAGTTTTAAGAACTACGATGAGCTAACCTCTTCAATCGAATTCATGCTTGGGCTTAAGGGACTGCCCGAGGGTCCGAGAGTCTCAGGGTGGAAATCGGCATACGTGGATTATGAGACTGAAGTTCTACTTGTTGGGGATGATCCTTGGGAGTAGGCATATATATTCATTTATTTTGTAAATTAAACAGGCTTCCACGGCCTGGCATTCTTTTGAGCAGTATTATCCAAGGCTTTGTCGACAAAGTAATTACAATGTCAAAACCACAACATGAAATGGTCACGTTTTGATGTCTGTGCAGAGAATTCGTGGGGTGTGTTCACTGCATTAGAAATTTAGAATTCTATCCCCTACGTACAGATGAGGAGTGGATGAAGCTTCTCAACAGTGCAGCAATGCAAGGAATCAATGGCTCTAATTCTTAAAGTTGCAAGCCAAGAATTCAGGGTGAACGACAGAGATTACACATGCCCAGGAAGTTTAAAAATGGGAGAGGAGTCTCGTACTGAAACCAAATATTAATAGGTGATCTATGTGATTCCCATTGGTATGCCTCTGCTTCAGCTTCGGGTGCTCTTTCTAGCTTTCGTTTTGTAGAGATGGAACTCTGGTGTACGAATTCAATATGCATATTTCAGCAGAAAATGAACTTGACGCATATGATATTATCCACGAAAACAACTATAGCAATGGGTGCATGAAGTAAACCAAAAAGAAAAAAGAAATAATCCTGCATCTTTAGGAAATGAACTTGATGCAAATAGTACTATGTACGAAAACAGCAATAGCAAATGGGTGCAAGAGGTAAACCAAAAATTCCTTCATCTACAGATGAATATCAGCAATTGTTTGTGACATAAAGATGTCGCCAATAACTTAAATCTTAGCTAGATGCAAGGTTGAAAAAGGAAAAAAGAAGAATAACTAAGTAGTCATATAACTATTTGCAGGAAGAAAAAAAACCCAAAAGCACGACAATCGTGGAATAGACATGGAGCAGCTGCTGCAGAACGCTATTCTTATGTGAAAAAGGGCATACTCGTATTTTCAAACTCCTGATCTCTCTTATCCATTTTCATTCTCTTACCATTAGGCAGGTCGGAATTGTTGCTACCCCCGTTTTGGGACGATACATCATGTTGGAATGCACAATTGGCGCCATTTCTGCATCCCCTGGCACTTTTAAAATAAATACAAGGCTTCATTACCCTCGGCTTCGAATCTCTTGGTTTTGGGTTTTTTGTTGCTTCTTGGTTTGGTCGTGGCTGTTGAGCTAGTCCCTGTCTTTCTTCTCCATGTTGCTGAATCAAGTTCTTGTAATAGTTTATATCCTTCTGAGGAAGTTCTGGGGCGAGTGTAGGTGAAACTTGATGGACACTGGGAATAGGACCTTGTTTATTTGAGGGTCCACTACCAAACCCATTACGCTCAGCATAATATGCTCCACTAGATGCCGCTGTCACGGATGCTATGCCGTTTTCCATTCGAATGGTACAGGGAGGAGATGGATTAGATATATTTACAGCTGGATGGGGATCGGACGTAGGTACCAGAGGAGATGTTGGTTTAGGTAAGTTTTGTGCAGCTGAATCCGCTCCATAATCTGTAACTAATTTCTCCATCAATTGCGGGTTGCTGAGAATTTTGACGAGCAAGTCAGGATCAATCATGTTTCCACATTCATTGCTTTGGTTAATAGCTCTTAAGGCAGCAGCTGCTACTCCGCGCTCAACATTAAGTACCATTCCAGCCGATGGTCTCTCCTCGGTAGAAGCACTTGAAACACTAGGCTGTGAACTAATGGGGGCACCAAATGGAGCAAAGTCATCAGGTAGTGTTTCAATTGCTGCATCTTCATCTTCAATAGGAGTGATGGGTATTTGAGGAGTTAGATGACCATCATACTGACAGTTTTCTACATCTGCTGAAACGGAAGGGCTGTAGAATGAGAATAAAAGTTAGGCTCGTGGAAAAGTAAAACTCAAAGAGAAAATTATGAGAAAACCCAATCCCCCACCCCCTCCAATAAATAAATAGAAAAGAACCAAACTTTGTAGGAATTGCAGATGGGCGAGGATAAACAGCTTCAAGTACTCTAACTTCTCTCTGATTTTGAATCTCAACCTCTTTACTTTCATCTCCAGCAACTACTTGCCAGTTGAAGTCCAATATAAACTGTGAAAATGCAGATTCAGCTTTTATAGAAATGCTGGAGCAATACTTACAAATCAAAATAAAATGGAAATGGCAAGAAAAGAAGCCTTTAGAACTGTTACTCTGTAAGGACATCTCCACTTAATGACAGGCATTTCTGACAAGCCAACATGCACATGATTTCTAGAATGAGTTCCTTCAAATCCAGGAGGCAGAAAATCATCCGCAGTTGCCCCATTTAAATGTGATACGGAGGTTTTTGCTTGTAGGTGATCTTGAGCGCCAAATCCAACTTGTGAAGGCGGTTCCTCCATTAGAAAGAGCTTTATCTGTTAAGAAAGAAGCATTTTTATTCTCTGTTTAGGAACTTCAATAAAACAGCCTGTGCCAAATAAACTGATGAAAAGAATTGCATAAACTAGGGATTTTTTTAACTCACACTGTATATATTAACAACAAAATAGAAGTATCGGCAAAATAAAGTACAGCATTTTATGATGCTATTATGTATAAATTAATCTATCATTTCTGTGAGTTTTAAAAATTTCTTAATTTCTCACAAAGAATCAGCTGAAACTAAAGATTGGACAAAAATGGGGGGAAAAGAATCATCTGAGGTTAATGAAATTCAGATGCCAATCCCAGTAAGCTTCGCTTAGTACTTATACAATAGAAAACACCAAAGTATTAGTTTCTAAACGAGAGTTGACCCCAAAAAAAAATTCCAGAACGGCGTCACCTACTGGGGATGAACTCAGCCTATCGATTTGATCATAAAAAAACCAGAATATTATATATTAATCGCAATTATCTTCAAAACCAAACAGAACCACTATTACCCCCATGCTCAACTAGGTACTGGCAAACAAGCACCTAAAATAGATACTAAGTCGCAAATATCTTTAATATTTGAAAGGACCAATTCCTTTCTTACTAGCTTGACAGCAGTGAAGTAGATTGCCACATTTAGTCGCAGAGACCTTTGGCAAAGGACATTTCAGAATCCTACTTCAAAGCAGAGAAGTGCTTCATTTTAGTTCAGAACTTCATACATCTAAGAGTTATAGAAACTAAAACTGAAGATCCTTTCGAATTATTTCGGAGTCTGTATGCTTAAAGCCTCTTTGGAGAAACAATTGGCTATCCTAAAAGGAGAAGGGTATGAATATAAATGAAAAAGGACAGACCACAAATTTTGAGCTTTCTGATTATTAAAAGCTAAAGCGATAAGACAAACATTCATGAACTTAATGTGCAACCTAATCAAACTCCTCGGAGATTTTATTGTGGCACAATTGCTATTTTTTTTATTGTGGTCTGCAATCTGCACAATGAACATGATATGAAGCAGGAATGCGCTGCTATGAAATGAAGCACCGTGAATTGACAAGCCGGGTTCTTTATCTTCATTAGCAATTTTGAACCAGTTAAAAATCAAAATACTTTACCATTATCGTCCCCTAATATTTGTAGCTAACTAGCATGACAATTCCTGGATCTATTGACTGATTTATTCCGGCGTCACCTACTGGGGATGAACTCAGCCTATCGATTTGATCATAAAAAACCCAGAATATTATATATTAATCGCAATTATCTTCAAAACCAAACAGAACCACTAACCAAGTCGCAAATATCTTTAATATTTGAAAGGACCAGTTCCTTTCTTACTAGCTTGACAGCAGTGAAGTAGATTGCCACTTTTAGTCGCAGAGACCTTTGGCAAAGGACATTTCAGAATCCTACTTCAAAGCAGAGAAGTGCTTCATTTTAGTTCAGAACTTCATACATCTAAGAGTTATAGAAACTAAAACTGAAGATCCTTTCAAATTATTTCGGAGTCTGTATGCTTAAAGCCTCTTTGGAGAAACAATTGGCTATCCTAAAAGGAGAAGGGTATGAATATAAATGAAAAAGGACAGACCACAAATTCTGAGCTTTCTGATTATTAAAAGCTAAAGAGATAAGACAAACATTCATGAACTTAATGTGCAACCTAATCAAACTTCACGGAGATTTTATTGTGGCACAATTGCTACTTTTTTTTATTGTGGTCTGCAATCTGCACAATGAACATGATATGAAGCAGGAATGCGCTGCTATGAAATGAAGCACCGTGAATTGACAAGCCGGGTTCTTTATCTTCATTAGCAATTTTGAACCAGTTAAAAATCAAAATACTTTACCATTATCGTCCCCTAATATTTGTAGCTAACTAGCATGACAATTCCTGGCTCTATTGACTGATTTATTCCGGCGTCACCTACTGGGGATGAACTCAGCCTATCGATTTGATCATAAAAAACCCAGAATATTATATATTAATCACAATTATCTTCAAAACCAAACAGAACCACTATTACCCCCATGCTCAACTAGGTACTGGCAAACAGACACCTAAAATAGATACTAAGTCGCAAATATCTTTAATATTTGAAAGGACCAGTTCCTTTCTTACTAGCTTGACAGCAGTGAAGTAGATTGCCACTTTTAGTCGCAGAGACCTTTGGCAAAGGACATTTCAGAATCCTACTTCAAAGCAGAGAAGTGCTTCATTTTAGTTCAGAACTTCATACATCTAAGAGTTATAGAAACTAAAACTGAAGATCCTTTCGAATTATTTCGGAGTCTGTATGCTTAAAGCCTCTTTGGAGAAACAATTGGCTATCCAAAAAGGAGAAGGGTATGAATATAAATGAAAAAGGACAGACCACAAATTCTGAGCTTTCTGATTATTAAAAGCTAAAGCGATAAGACAAACATTCATGAACTTAATGTGCAACCTAATCAAACTCCTCGGAGATTTTATTGTGGCACAATTGCTATTTTTTTATTGTGGTCTGCAATCTGCACAATGAACATGATATGAAGCAGGAATGCGCTGCTATGAAATGAAGCACCGTGAATTGACAAGCCGGGTTCTTTATCTTCATTAGCAATTTTGAACCAGTTAAAAATCAAAATACTTTACCATTATCGTCCCCTAATATTTGTAGCTAACTAGCATGACATTTCCTGGCTCTATTGACTGATTTATTCCTATAAAAACATTTACAAAAAGGTAGAGACTAGAGACACTAAATTAGCCATAAATACCTGGAAAAGGAAATCGAGTACAAACGAAAAATACATTCAGAAACATGCTCAGCAACTCAAGAATACTAAAATGAGCTAACCTAATAGCTTCAAATGCAATTGCAAATGGTTTAGATAGAGAAAGAAGAAAAGAAAAAGATTCTAAAAACAAAACAATAAGAAGGGTTCAAATATATTCCCACTTTATTTTTTTGGTACCTATAACTTAAATTTTCTACGTTTTTTTCATTTCTCTATTTCACCTGAAATGGAGCTCGAAATTTAGGAATTCCTAAAGTTAAAATTGCAAGTTTTACCTGACAAAGATTAGCATCCGGTGCCCAAGAAATCCTGTTCGATTTGCGCACTCTCATATTTACAGATCGTCAAAAACAATATATTAAATTAAAAGATAACTATCCTTCAGAAGTCCTCCTTGTCCGGCTTCGATTCTGGGTAAAAATGTATTAGTCCAGTTCCCGAAACCATTGATTTTAGGGTTCTATCGATTAAAACCCAACTCAACCACCGGTGTCGCAAAAAGAAAACTGACTCGGCCTTTAAATTAACTTACCTATTTCGAAAATCCTAACTATAATATTAAAAAAGAACTAATCGATTAAAAAGAACCGTAAATATTTCTAAACATAGTAATCCAAGGCAACCCTAGATCCTCTGGGTTTTGATTTTTGGCATTGCTATTTCCCCCCTATTTATTCTATTTCCTTCTCTATTTCGCTCTTTCCTTCTAGGCCTCTGTTCTGTATTGAGGATCCAGTTGAGGGAGCGCTGGTACACGCTTCCTTTTGACGCGTGTAAATTGAGGGACGTTCAGGGATTGTGAAGTTGTATTGCACGCGCTCTGAATGCGAGTACGGTTAAAACCATTTTTTGAGTTAAACGAAGAAATGAAGGACAAATTGATGAAAAAAGTCGCAGCATTGGCACCGTCCACACTCGATGTGCTTTACTTTGTCCGATAACATTGACCACGTGGCCTCCGCTTACTTTTGTTTGGACATTTTAGTGGCGGTTTGTTTGGTTCTGAATGAAATCATTAACAGTTGAATGTTAAATTGTTTAGTATTTAGTGTGTTTGTTTTTTATCTCTGAATGATTTAGTGTTACTGATTTAGCAAAATAGTGTTGAATGATTCAGCATCAAAGTACATTCTGAATGATTCTGTAACATCCTCCATGTCGGGCTAGTGATTATTTTGTAAAGTTTCAGCATTTGGTGATTTAAGTAGAATGATGGAAGAGTTCAATGACTTATTTGAGTTATTTTGTGTATGATTGAATTATAAAGAATGAAGATTAGAATGACAAAATGGTCTTTTTATAGCAATATAATTTTGGGGTTAGTATTATATTAACCACGTGGATGTATAGGAAATTAAAACAAGCTTCCAGAGTCATCTTCTTCTTTCTTCTTCTTCATACGTGAGACCCAAGCTAAGGTAAGATTTTCTTGTTAGTGAATTTCTTGATGAATTTATGGTTGATTCATGACCATTAGGCAATAGTTAAGCTTAAAGGAAGTTTAAATTGTTTTAAAACATCAAGAGGAGAAGTATATGAAGAATTAAAGAAATGAAGTAGAAAAGTGAAATCTTATATTAGAGTTCATAATAAGAATTGGAAGTGAGATTTGACTTGTCATCAAGTTAATTAAGGGATATGAAGTGTTAAAATTGGAATTAAAACACCTTGAAAATTTAGTGTGATTCTTGAATGCCATGTAAATGATGGAATTTTGGGTTTAAAGAAGTGATTATGGAATAGAAATGAGTTTAAATAGGTATATGGAAGTTATGAATATTAAAGGAAGTAAAATATGAAGGTTTAAGCTGAAATGAAGTGATTTTCGAGCTCAAAATAGGATTTCTGGGCTAGGGGAATTGATACTCATTCAAGGGGAATCGATACCCCCTCAAACGAATATGAATTTCCAGAACGCTAGAGGGGAATCGATACCCCCAAGGGGGAACCGATTCCCCCATAATAAAAAAAAAGAGAAAAGAAAGAAGAGAGACTAAATTATCAATTTCATAAATTGGTAGGCTATTAGAGGTTAATTTCAAGACTTAGGCATCTGATAATCATCTTGAAAATTTTGCTTATGTAGATATTGAGCCTAATCGAGTTCCGGAACCATCGACAAGTAGGATCAATCGAGGGAAAAACAAAGAAATCTAGGTGAGTGCATATGCATAGCATTAATATGTATTTTATTCAGTTCTAGACTTGTGATAAGTCTAGATTCAATATTTTGATACATGATCGTAGTTCATATGATGATATATGACATGAATCCATACCATATGCATTATGGGACATGAATATGAAAGAAAAGTTATATGAGTTATATGATAAAGGTATGGAAGTAATATGTCTACGTGATATGAATTAGATAAATTGTGAAAGCCCATGTTATGTAAATGAGAACTATAGGTATAGTTGGCATGCCAAGGGTAGAGGATCTATGTGGTCCTTCGGGATATATATGTATTCTTTGGAACATGTGTGAAGTCTGGTGAGACACATACTTGATCCTTGGCATATGTATATGATTCTTAAGGAATGATATGTGGTCCTTCGGGACATATATGTATTCTTTGGAACATGTGTGAGGTCTGGTGAGACACCTACTTGATCTTTGGTATATGTATATGATTCTTAAGGAATGATATGTGGTCCTTCGGGACATATATGTATTCTTTGGAACATGTGTGAAGTCTGGTGAGACATATACTTGATCCTTGGCATATGTATATGATTCTTAAGGAATGATATGTGGTCCTTATGGACATTATTATATGGCACTATGGTGCAATTCTACGCGGCACTCCGGTGCAATTCTACGTGGCACTTAGGTGCAATTATATGAGCTGTGGTGACAGCATAGTGCACAACCTCACAATACTCACATACCTTAGGTTCTCTGTATGGTACCATGGGCTAATGAACTTACTAAGGCGAACTTATGAATGTGAATTTGATAAGTATATGTGTAAGAAACATGGTTTTGGTTATTGCATTGTTTACATACATCTTATTACTGCAACCCATCTCATTTTGGCAATTACTTTATATTTATTGATATTATTATTATATTATTGACTCACTAAGTCGATGACTTAGCGTGTGAGTGTTTCACACGTAGGATCCGATAAAGTAGACGATCGAGGTTAAGCAGCTGGATAACATTACTCCTGCAACTATCAGATCAGAAGCAACTTAATCAGTAGGTCATTTTGTTATGAAAATGGATGTTGGCATGTAATTAAAGAGTTAAGTTGTGTATGCTCTGAATATTTTGGTAAACTTATATTACCATATGTATATTATTGTATTTTTCGTAATATAAGTTCAAGTATTTTACTATTATTTGTAATGAGTTGTGTTTTAAAAGTCAATGTAATATCTCTGACTCGTATCCGGGTTGGGATACGAGTTGGGGGTGTTACATTTAATGGTATCAGAGCTATGATTTAGCCGATTCTAGGCATAAACCAGAGTCTATAGAGTCTTTAAATGGAATACATGCCAACAAATAGTGAGAACTTCTGATCTGGTATAGTATGAGTATGTTGTTTTGCTAATAGAACAATGTGTTTATTCTTATTAGATGTCCAGACATAATAGCTCCCGAAGTAAAGCGGGAGAAGATAGGCATGCTGAAAGCAGTAATTCACCTGCCCTGGCCAAGCAAGGTGAAGAACAGGCATCTCAAGGAGTGCCTGTGCAAGATCAAGATATGTTCTTCAGAACGTTAGACGATATTCTAACGCGTCTTCAACCTCCTGCTCCACCAACTCAAAGGATGAATGTAGCAAAAGAGTTGAGAGGTTTAGGAGCTCCCGAATTTAAGGGAGAAACCGAAGAAGGTCCGGTTGCGGCAGATCTTTGGTTAAATGATTTAAAAATCATCTTGGATGGTCTCCACTGTTCTGAAGTGGAGAAGTTAGATGAAGTTTTCTCGTTATTGAGGGGTCAGGCGAGAATATGGTGGACGAACGTCACCATGAGGATTCCCAGTGACCAATTGACTTGGTCTTTATTCTTAGATGAATTTAAAAACAAGTACATTGGAGATCAATTTATTCGACAGATGAAGCATGAGTTTTTGAATTTGAAACAGATGAACCGCTCTGTATATGAGTATGAATGTGAGTTCAACAAGTTGAGTAGGTTTGCATCCGAGCTTGTGCCTACTGAAAAAGAGGCTTGTGAATGGTTTGTGGAGGGTTTACGCCCTAGATTGAAAGAGATGCTGATAGTATTGAATTTGTCCTTGTTCCAAGAGGTGATCAATCGTGCCAAGGCTCTTGAAAGAGCTCAGAATGAGAGATTCGGGGATTTTAGAGTTCATACATCAAAGAGAACGGGTGCTTCTTCTAGCTCCGTACCATCAAAAAGGGGAAGAGACTCGGGATTTCGATCACAAGCTAGATCAGAATCAGTTGCATCGTCTGCTAGGGGAGCAAGTCAGGCAAGACCTAGACAGACGCAGTCAGTGGGATCTGGTGTTGGGAGATCTACTCCGAGTCAAGTGAGACAGTGTCAGCACTGTGGGAAAAACCATTCTGGGACTTGTCGGATGGCTGCTGGGACTTGTTTTCGATGCGGAGATGCCAGACATTTTATCCGGGATTGTCTATTGATTGTTGGTGAGCCTGCACCATTTGAAAGAGTTGGTTCTTCCTCACAAAGAGGACGAGGAAGAGGCAGAGGAAGGAACCCGTCTGAATTCTCTGCTCAACCTGAAGTTCGATCAACCGCACGGGTGTACAATCTAAAGACAAGTGAAGACCGTGATGATCCTGATATTATAGCAGGTACTTTTCAGTTGTATGATAAATTAGTATTGGCATTGATTGATCCGGGTTCTAATTATTCTTATATTACAAGTAAGTTAGTAAAGGAATTGAGGATTCCCTTAGAAGCTACGAGTAATGAGATTATAGTAACAACTCCGTTAGGCCATAGTGCTCGGGTGAATAAATTCTGTAAGGGGTGTCCCATAAAGGTTCAGGGAATTGAATTCCCTGCTAATCTGATGAAATTACCCTTTGACAAGTTTGAAGTGATTCTGGGAATGGATTGGTTATTCCGTTACTATGGAGATGTTAATTGCAGATTGAAAAAGGTAACCCTGAAAAGTCCAGGAGGAACAGAGATAAATGTGAGCAGTGAAAAGTTTAATCCCTTAGCAAATGTAATGTCAGTAATGTCAGCTAAGAAGCTATTGCTACAGGGATGTCAAGGATTTCTTGCAAATATGATAGATTTAAGAGCTATAGAGAAAGGGCTAGAGGAGATTCCAATAGTTCAAGAATTCCCTGAAGTTTTCCCGGCTGAGTTGCTAGGATTACCTCCAGATAGAGAGGTAGAATTTCAAATTGAGGTAATGCCAGGAACCGCTCCAATTGCAATGGCACCTTATCGGATGGCTCCGAAAGAATTGCAAGAGTTAAAGAATCAATTGCAAGAGTTGTTAGGAAAAGGATTTATTCGACCAAGTGTGTCACCTTGGGGAGCTCCGGTGTTATTTGTTAAGAAGAATGATGGATCAATGCGTCTCTGTATTGATTATCGACAGCTTAATAAGGTGACCATCAAGAACAAGTATCCCCTTCCGCGCATTGATGACTTGTTTGATCAACTAAAAGGAGCTTCGGTATTTTCGAAGATCGATCTACGTTCGGGTTATCATCAAT